CGAAGCTAGAGGCCGATTTGGAAGAACGCGAAAGAAATCGCCGACTCCGAGATTTCCAAGGCGTTCGATGCTGGAGAGAACGTGGCCTTGGAAAAGTATATGGAAGAGGTACCCAAGTTTGAAAATCGAGGCTTCAAACACAGCTGGCTTAAAGCCCTGGTGGCCGCTAATGTGACATTGGAGCAGCCAATTCCATACAAGCAGCTAAAAGTTGAGCCGTTTGAGTCTAACCCTGAAGAATAAGTAGTGTTAATGTAATTTTGCTTTATGTTTGGTATCTTCTGTATGTAGTTTTTGTAGGTTTTTGCTTATTTTTTTTAGGAGTCATTTGTAGGGTAGTTTTCATGTGTAAAATGACGATTGTTTGCACTCAATTTATTAATGAAAATTGCCTTTTTATCTCTTTTCTGCATGTGTTAATTAATAGCTAAGGACAATGCAACGTAATTAGGAGATAAATAATTTAAATTAATGGCCAAGACAATGTAAGACAATGTAGAACAATTCGACGTTGAATTAATGGCCAACCCATGCAACATTTGGCTATAACATAATCTGTTGAATTAAATATACAGCTCGGTGCTAAGCTCGTTTGCCGAGTACAATCGTACATTTGCCCTTACCCCAGTTGGATAAGTCGTTCTAACTCCAAATAGAACATATGGCTTGCAACGTGTAACATAATCTATTGAATAGAATATACGGCTCAATGCTAAACTCGTCTAGCCAAGTGGGGTAATGTATTGTAATTTGGCTATAACATCAGATGCCGAGTAGAATCATATATTTTCTCTTGCCCCATTTGGACATGTCGTTTCAAAGCCGAATAAAACATATGACTTATGCCAATTTGGACATGTTTCAAACCCTACTACAAATGCAGGGTTAGCTGCGGGGCACATTGGAAATGCTGCATCCATAATTAATGAACGAGGTATCTAGTATTTAAGAGGTTCCACGCGTTGTGGAATAGATCTGGCATAGACGACAAAAAGGGCAGTCAGTAATTTGAGGACGAGTGAAAACTTGAGTGTCGACGATGGTCATGAGTTGGGTCATGAGTTGGGTCATAGATGTCTTAGAGATTATTCTTCAATAGAAAAAGAGAAGGAAGAAGTTTGGCGGAGCTGGACGCTGAAATGCATCGCATTGCTGGATATGAAGCTCAAAGAACAAGGAACGCTGACATGCATCGCGTTGCCCAGACGTCGGAGCAGGTTCCCCAGAAGAGGTGAAGTAACGAAGTCCCCTAGGGATGGAATGCCGTAATGAGGGGGCTTAAAGGGTCATATTGTTGGTCATACGGTTGCGCGAAGTGAGCCGAGAAGACCTTCGCGCCTGCTGAGCTTTTTGGCCTTTATTTGGAACAAACCAATAACTGAAGCGGACTCAATAGTCTGTGACCCCAATGTGGTGGTGGAATTCACGCGGCAAATATTTTTGCCAGAGGCGTAGCAATCGCTCGCCGACCGTGGTGACTACAAAATTTTCAGGGAAGGTATACATAGGTTGATCCAAAGACTTTATAGCGCATATAAAATTGGCATGTGCCTGCGCGCGGCGAAAAGGAAGCTCGAGCAAAAGGAGGGGTGCATTCGAGATTTGGAGCACCGTGCAAAAAAAGTCGAGAATGAGTTAAAAAAGGCCAAGGCGGCTGAGATGCAGTTAGCGTGTGCCGCTAACCCGGTTGTCACAAACAGAGTCAACCAGCGCCTGCTGGATCATGCTATGGCCGATAGAGAGATGAAAAACATGTTTGCCAAACAGGCTATATGGACTCGGGCCTATGAAGAAGGTTTTTTTGATGGCCGAAAAATCGGCATTGAAAAGACTAAGGCAAATTGGCAGAAGACGTCTGTCAATGCGAAAACCGCGGCTTTAAGCATAGTTGGGTTAAGGCCTTACAAGCCACGGGCGTCGATTCAGCGTCCCCACTATTTTAGAATTACAAGTTTCCTTTCAAAGCTTACGATGCCAAAAAAACAAATGACGAAGAAGATGCCGAGCCGGAAAAGACTTAGATATTAAGAAACATATTATTTATACTTTTGAATTTATCCAATGCTATGTATTTCTACCTTTTTGGTGAAATAAATAAATATTTGTTACACTACTTTGTTTAATATTTGTATAAATTCGTGTGATAATTACATATTTGTAAGCCCCATGCCACTGTACTGCCAAATACTTGGCCATTGGTGGTCATGTAGGAAGGCCATTTCGAATTCTTTGTGTTTTCCAATCGTGAGATCCACAAAGGGCACTTCGAATTCAGAGGCTTATTCGGCCCAAACGTGATATCCACGAAGGGCGCTCTGAATTCAGAGTCTTTGTGTTGGCCAATCGTGACATCTACGAAGGGTGCTCCGAATTCAGAGGCTTATTCGGCCTGAACATGATATCCACAAAGGGCACTCTGAATTCAGAGTCTTTATGTTGGCTAATCGTGACATCCACGAAGGGCACTCTGAATTCAGAAGCTTATTCGGTCCGAACATGATATTCACGCAGGGCGCTCCAAATTCGAAGTCTTTATTTTGACCAATCGGTGATACAACAATAGAGCAAATTTTTTTTTTTTGTATACAACAGAAGAGGAAGCTGGAGCAGTGCCTGGACAGTTTCATCAACATCAATTTTTTTTTTTTTTTTTTCATTCCGATCGGTGATACAATTTCAAGAGCAAATTTTCCTATCAAGAAGATACATTCAGATCGGTGATACATTTAGATCGGTGATACAATATCAAGGAGAAAACAGAGAGATCGGTACATCTTCCTATCAGATTGGTACATCAGAAAACAGAGCAAATTTTCCCACCGACTGTAACCACAACAACACACAACATCATCATAATCAAACACAGATTTTCAAAATCAAAATCAAAAAAAAAAAACAAACACAGATCTAATCCCTCATCGTCCATCGTCGACCGTCGCCAGCTCTCTCTCTCTGTCGCCATCGTCGCCCATCATCGACCGTCGCTAGCTCATCGTCACCGTCGCCAGCTCATCGTCGCCATCGTCGGCCGCGCAACTCTCTCTCTCTGTTCGTCCTCTCTCTCTTTCTTCTCTCTTCTCTCGCTTTCTCTCGCTCTCTCTCCTGTTTCAGATATAAAAGAAACAAAAAAGATTGAAAAACGACGTCGTATAAAAGTTGGGCCAAATTCGAGCCTCACATTTCGAGCTACCAATCTTTTTTCTTGTTAAAATTAAGTGATAAGTTTGAAATTTATTCAATCGAATTTCATTTTACTTGCAATTATTTTTTCAACAATGATTCATCCCACTAAAAACATCACCACTAATAGCACTAATGCATTAAAAATGTAAAAAAAAAAAAAAAACACAACTCCAAGATCAAAACATCACATCATTAATGACGGAACCCCCTGCCACCTAATTAGTGAGAGCACTAATTAGTGGGAGCACGCATTTTTCTTATTTCTTCACATTATGACTTCTAAATGAATTCTTAAATCTGTCGAGAGATAATTCACTAACCAAATCACTGGATCAGTTTATTTGTTTTTAAAAGTTGATTTTCCTCTTGACTCCACCGTGTAAATTTGATCCAAAGCAGATTTTTGGTAACATACACCCAACTCTTCGACATCCCCAATCGCCGTCAAACCCACAGCAGAAGAAGAGTGCGACTGTTACTGATACATCGATTGATGACCCTTGGACCTTCGCTAGAGCCAACTGACCCATAATATTCATTTTCTATATAGTTTTTAGCTCTCTCTCGATCTCAATGTCTTCAGGTCCAACCTCTATCACTCTCTCTACTCTGTTTCAAACTCTTTACTGTATAATCATCATAAAGCCTTAACTCTTGATTTGTTCTTCACTAATTGTAATTCTTCGTATTCGCAAAGCTTCAGTTCATAGATCAATGGCAAACTCGTTATACTTAAAGCACGGACTCTCTCTATGGTGTCCTCACTCCACTTCTCTGAATCGAATTCACCACCACCCTTCTTCAATTTCTTCCAGAAGCTACGTCGTCGCATCTTCATCTTCTTTCGCCAATGAGAATCGCGAGTGAGTCTCAATTTCTGAAAAAAAAAAAATATACGTATATATATATATATATGTATATGACATATATGTGAGTGAAACTTGGAAATTGGATATGAGAATTGCAGGTTTGTGATTGTTGGAGGTGGAAATTCGGCTGGATATGCAGCTCGGACTTTCGTCGAGCACGGTATGGCCAATGGAAAGCTGTGTATTGTATCGAAAGAGGTGACTTTGATTTCATGATTAGGGTTTTTTTTATTATTATTATTATTATTTAATTTATCAAGTTACTGAATTGAGTTAATGTGAATGTTGTTTTGGTTATATTGGAATTTTATGTATTGTTGTTACAGGCATATGCACCTTATGAGAGGCCAGCTTTAACAAAAGCTTATTTGTTCCCTCCAGATAAAAAGCCTGCACGTTTACCCGTAAGATTATCTATCTTGGTTTTCAATTTCACCATCTCATGGAAAATTTCGTGATTTAGAAGCTGTTAGGCTGTGTTTAGTCGGCAGATTTGATAAGAGAAATCGAAGGAAAAAAGGAAATGCAATCGCACTGTTTTTTTTGTAGTTATAATGAAAATCACTAGGAAAAATAAAGTGAAAGGGAAATGTAATATCATTTTTTGTCTTTTGGATTCACATATGCTGTGTTTCGTTGGAGAATTAGAAAGGGACTTGAAAAGAAAAAAGAAAAAGAAAGATAAAATATGAATAAAATATACCTATATTTTATCTAATTTTATGCATTTTTTCTTTTTTTTCTTTCCAAATCCTTTCTCAAATCACTCAATTGAACACAGCGTTAGGCTTATTTTTTTCTCCAATTCTCAACTCAACCAAATATAGTTTAAAATTTGAATCCTATCAATTCTTTCTCCTTTTCTTTTTATTTATATTTCTCTTTTCCTTTCTCCTCATCAAATTCTCCAACCAAATAACCAAACATAGCCTTAATGTTTAACATTTTGGTGGACTTCCAATCCAAGAGAGCTATTTGGTGTTTGTACCATGGTATGGAATTATGGGTGTTGATGAGATCAGTTCATGCATTCTATGGAGAACTCATTTTTAAGGATTTTGGTGATTGTTATTGTACATGTCTGGATCATAGGCATAAACACTTGACGCAACTCTCATGATTCTAAAGTGGGAAAAAAAATTAGTAGAGATTTTGTTTGCTTAGTATCATTATTGTCTATGTCAATGTTATATCTGATTTAAGGTTTGGTAATTTATGTTATTTTAGGGTTTTCATACGTGTGTTGGATCTGGTGGGGAAAGGCAGACTCCTGAATGGTATAAAGAGAAGGGTATTGAGGTATTCTTCATCATTAAGAATAACTTGTTTTCGGGTTGTGGTATCTCTCCCTGAAATTTTAATTTTCTTCCATTCCACCTTCCCCCCAAGCCACAACTTTATTGTATTGGAAAATGTTATAATCCTGCTTATTCACTTTTGTGTAGATGTTGTACGAGGATCCAGTAACAGCTATTGATATTGAAAAGCAAACTCTGACAACAAATTCAGGGAAACTGCTAAAGTATGGGTCTCTTATTGTTGCCACTGGATGTACAGCTTCAAGGTGCGTTTAACATTTTAAATTATTATTATTTTATTTAAAAAAGGCTATCAATTGTGCTGTTTGATTATTCTCATCAATTGTTGTTGTATTTGAGACATTCTTTTGTATGAAAATATTGGCAACCAAGGGACAAATTGCAGAATTATGTTGAGATGTTATAAACATTTGTGTGCTATTGGATTTGGTTTTATGGTGTGAGAATGAATCCTTCAGCTAAGCCACTGCCTTGTTTTTGTTTTGTTTCATTTTGGTTTATTAATTGCTGCTACTTCATGTAACTTCAAATGTTCAAGCTTTCATTTTCATTTTTCAAAAAATATAGTTTTTTTTTTGTTGTTCATTTGAATATTTTTGGTTTATGTATGTAGCTGTGACAATGGCTCAGAGGTGGATGCTTCAATATCTACAATTTTTAGTTTACACGCATGCTTTCCTCTACTACTGAGACCACTCATAAAAGTCATTTCACCCCTATTCCCTTTAAAGCTGCTCTTAGGAGAATTCCTTTGCTACACTCAACTTGAAAACATGGAAAGGGAGTCACAAGCCTTCTTCCTTTAATCCATTAAATGCTTGTCTCCTTGGCTTCAGATTTCCAGAGAAGATTGGTGGAAACTTACCCGGTGTTCACTATATTCGGGATGTTGCAGATGCTGATTCGCTGATATCATCACTGGTGATTTTCGTTTGTTACACTTAACATTATCTATTTATCATATATTGGTTGTCAACTTAATTCTACTTTCTTCAGGTTAATAATATGGTGATGAAGCTAATGTTTCTGTTGTAAAACTCTACAGACACAAGCTTGTTAACTTGTATTTAACAATAACCGAATGGCAAATGCTATGAGTTGCTTTTGGAAATAGCTAGATTTTATTTTTTTAAATTAGGAGCTGTAGAGGGGATTCTGTCACACAGTGGTTTTCATTTTATAGGAGAAAGCACAGAAGGTGGTTGTTGTTGGTGGTGGTTACATTGGCATGGAGATTGCTGCTGCAGCTGTTGGTTGGAAACTTGATACAACGGTATGTCTGGGTTTCATTCTGGTTCTGCTATGTTAAGGTTTGAGATGGTAATTTTTCATTGATCCAATATCTGTTACACTGAGTGAGGTATTTGGAATTTTTGGCAATTCATACCCTTTTAACTCTATAAGTAGCATAAAGATGATAGATTAATTTTAATTATTTTGACTAGTAATGTATGTAAAGTTTAGGGTTCTTAGATAAGTGATTGATTAATTTTAATTACTTTGATTAGTTGTGTAGGTAAAGTTTAGGATTTTTAGATGATTGATTAAATTTAATTATTTTGTTTAGTTTTTATGTAAGGTTTAGGGTTTTTAGATGATTGATTGATTTTAATTATTTTGATTAGTTGTATATACAAGGTTTAGGGTTTTTATATGGATTAATTTTATGATTGTAATCACACTCATGATTATATAAAATTAAAATAAACTTAGAATCCATAGATATTGGTTAGAGGATGGATTAATTCGTTGTTTTTATTTATTTATTTTTATTTGATGTTGGATTGATTTTGTATTTGCATGTAGATGATGGAGTGATTTTAATTATTTTGATTAGTTGTATATGCCATGTTTAGGTTTTTTATATGGATTTATTTTATGGTTGTAATTACACTCATGGTCATATAAAATTAAAATTAATTAAGAACCTATAGATAAATTCCTTATATTCCACCATGACTCCATGGATTGTTGTTTTATTTGAGTGATGGTGAGTGTATAAAAAAAGTGAGGATTATGAGATTTATTTAAGATTTTATTGTTTCGAGTGGATGCAACGAACACTTAAAATTTGTGATTTTCAATGTCTACTTTTTTATTCATTTTTTTTTTTTTTAGTTTTTGGTTGTACTAGATGGCCCTTCTATTCTGTATTTTAGGTGATCAGCATTAACATTCTTGTTTAATAATATTGTTTTTCACATGTTTTCTAATTTTTTGACGGTGCACACACCACATCTCTGACTTTGTAATTTATAAAGACTCTTATTTTCATTACACCTTTTACACCCTATCTCATTTATCCTTTCTGAACAGAGCCTTGTCCCAACTGTTTAGAATTGGCTCTCCGACTGTACATTTCTAGGGCCACATGCTTTATTAAGTCAAGATTAACTTGTATCAATTTCACTATCCTCACTTTCACTACCCTCTGTCGTGGCAACAATTGAAGTTAATCACATTGATTTGTCTTGCTGCGACTACTCATTGTCTTTGTGCACCTGCTGCCAGATGAATTTATTTAATTTCATTGATGTCAAAACTTGCGTGTACGCTATACTATTTGTCAAGTTACGATATGATCTTATCTTGTGAATTGATAAGTTTCAACTAACATATTCTATTGGAAAAAATTAGATCATATTTCCAGAAAATCATCTTCTGCAAAGATTGTTTACTCCTTCCCTCGCTCAGAAATATGAAGAACTTTACCAGCAGAATGGCGTCAAATTCTTGAAGGTAAAGTCATCTCTCCCTCTCTCTCCTTTGGGTAGCATATATCAACATCTTATTACCCTCTATAACTGGTATTTTAAGTTTGATTGATTATCAACAGGGTGTCTCCATAAAAAACTTAGAAGTTGGTTCTGACGGATGCGTGGCTGCTGTTAAACTTGAAAATGGAACTACAATAGAAGCAGACACGGTAAAATACTGCTACGTGTTTGTGGATTTTGTTTTTCTTCTACTTTTTAATCCTATGGTAACTCTTGGTGACTTTTGTTTCTGCATTTGATGACAAGGCAGTGTAACTAACCAAATGGAAAAATTATGTGCTTTTCTCCTTTGTGTAGATTGTTATTGGTATTGGAGCTAAACCTGCTGTCAGTCCTTTTGAAACGTTGCCCTTAAATACCACTGTTGGTGGAATACAGGTCAGCACGATGGTCAAAACAAATTTCTAATCATTGGGAATCTTATTATCTTGGTTATAACTCATCCCTGCATTTTTGGGGTGTGAGTTTTCTATATTTATGAATTTTATGTGTCTGTGTTATCAATTTGTCATTCATACAATGTTGCTGTTTATTTCAAGAATAAAGTTAAATTCTTTTGACATTTCCCTTCCCTTTTCTTTTCCCTCCACAACTCCCTCCCAAAATCCATGATCCAAACACACCCTTGGGGCTACTTTGTTAGTGATTGTTAGTCTTTTTGTTTTTCCTTGCCACCTCCAATTAAAATTTGGAAGGCTCTATGCCTGCTGCATGAGACCTATGTATATCATTATTGTATTGTGTTAAAATCCACCTACTCTCCACCTACTTCACCCACTTAAACCTACTCCACTAAACCTAACCCACTACACCACTACCACCTCACCTACTCCACTAAACCTAACCCACTACACCACTACCACCTCCACTTCACCTACTCCTTACCTACTACACACTTACCCTCTTCTATATATAGGAATCATGAATCATTGTAATAGATATCAATATAAATCAATCAATAATACAATTCTCTATTTCTCTTTATACATTAAATTTTCTACATATTGCGTGCCTTGATGAGCTTTTTTTCATTGAGATCCTTGATGAACTACTTTTTGGTGTTGGCTATTTATTCTAAACACAGATCATAAAGAAAATCTGACTTCAATTACTGTAAGTTGTAAAATTTGAAGTACTTAAACAGTTAACCTTTACAATTTGTTTGGTTTGAATGATTTGGAGTAAAAAGAAATGAAATGGAGATAAATGGATTTCAATAGAAATGAAAAGAAACGAAGAGAGACACATTTCTCTCGTAACCCCCATTTTGAATCTCTCCAAAAGTGGAGAGGTTAGGAGAGAAATGAAACAACTAAATACTATTTTGTTATAATACCAAAATTACCCTTTTAAATACAGAACAGATAAAAATTCTAACACCTATAAAAGGTTAATTTGATAATGTAACATTGTATCATCTCTTTTCTTTTCTAACAAGATAGGAGAGAAATCATATCATTTCTTTTTCTTCTTTCTCTTATCTATCCAAACAAAAGAGAAAGAAATCACAATCTTTTATTTTCTCTCATAACTTATATAATCATTTCTTTCTTTCTTTTTTCTTTTTTTTTCTTTCTCTCATAAGTTACCAAACATAGTGTTAAATTTCAGGTTGATGGTCAGTTCCGAACAAGTGCCCCTGGTATTTTTGCGATTGGAGATGTAGCGGCATTCCCCTTGAAGGTAATCCTTTCCCAGATTAAGAAGTAATTCCTCCACTTCTGTTTCTGTTCTTAAAAAAAAAAAACAAAAAATACAAAACGCAACTTATATGTGGTTCATTGTAAACAGATGTATGGCCGCATTGCAAGGGTCGAACATGTTGATCATGCTCGCCGATCTGCCCAGCATTGTGTTAAAGCATTACTAAGTTCACAAACTGACACGTATGCTGGAATCTTCTTTTTTTTTTTTTTTTTTTTGAACACTTGACCTCCTAGGGAGGTGCAGGAGTACTGGCCAACTGGGTTAGTCCCATTTGGTTTGGAATATTTTCTTTTGATACTTCTGAGTGTTTAGCAAATTTGATGCACTATTGATGTTATCTCCCCTTTTGATACTTCTTGATGATTTGTTTCCCTGCGTGATGTCCAGGTATGATTATCTGCCACATTTCTACTCGAGGGTCTTTGAGTATGAAGGAAGCCCAAGGAAAGTATGGTGGCAGTTTTTTGGGGACAATGGTAAGGGCATTGCATTATACCAATAAATTATTATTTGACCATCTTCATGAATCATATCTTCTACTTTTGTACTCATTGTTTTTCTCTTACTGAGCAGTTGGGGACACTGTTGAAATTGGAAATTTTGATCCAAAGATTGCTACTTTCTGGATAGATTCTGGTAATGTTATCCGTTAAAGCCACTTTTCCCAGTGAAATCCATTAAGCTCGACACCTCCCCTGCCCATGTGTATTTCTTTGTACTTGTTGACCAAGGAGGACTAATATATACTTATTGCCCTTGACAGGTAAACTGAAAGGAGTTCTTCTTGAAAGTGGAAGTCCCGAGGTACGTGTTTAATGTTATTGTAAAATTTAAAGATCGAATGTTGGAATGTATTGTTCTGATCAGAGATATATTCTAATTAAAGTATAAAATATGTTGATGCAATGCCAAAATCAAGTATGGATGGAGATTTTTTTTTTTGGGGGGGGGGGGGGTTTTTTGGAAAACTTTTGATTAAAAACTATGGGAAATGTTTGTAGGGACATGATGTACAAACAAGACTTAAGTATCAGATAAGATTTCATGACTAATAAGTTTTTAATATTTTAGACAGTAGATTACACTTACACAGATTTAGCAATGTTTGTGTGAAAACAGCATGTATAAAAAATTGTGGAAATTCTGGGAGAAATGCAAAATTTTAAACGAATTTGAGGCCATTTTTTGCGTACCAAGTCTACTTGAATATTTGTCTCTATTGTCCAGGATTAAAAAATAATAATAAGAAGATGATTTATCATTAACAAGTAAGTCAATATTTTGTCCAGGATTAAAAATAATAATAAGAAGAAGAAGAAGACCTTGAATATCATAGAAGATGATCTGTCATTAATAATTGTGTCATATTTGGTATGTACCAAAACTACTGTTGTCATCACTCAGTATTGTTCCCACCTCCTGTACTGATTTTTTTTGCCAGCTATAGGACAAGGATTGGATCTTTGGTATTTTACATTAAATTATGTTTTGGCGGTTCTTATAATTTGTTGGTTTTTTTCTCTTTTTGATCTGCTGGAAATTGACTTAATGTTGCCTTTTTCTATTTGAATTGCTTCCAAAAGCGTTCTCACGAACTTAGAACTGATAATTGCTGCACGGGTTGCAATTTCTTGCATTTGTTTAAACGTCAAACTGATGTCTGGCTATTTTGTTGAAGGAATTTCAACTTCTTCCCAAGCTTGCAAGGAGCCAGCCCTTCGTTGATAAAGCCAAACTGGAGAGTGCATCATCAGTTGAGACAGCACTACAAATTGCACGATCTTCTTTGCAGGTTGACGCTACGGTTTAGTTCATAGCACTAAACAATTTTTGCTTCTTGCATGTACATCTTCAATAATGCTTTTGGAGGAGAATTATTTGGTAAACCATATTCTGAAACCTCTTCAATGTAAAGCCCCGTACCCACTCTTACAATTTAATTTTCCATGTAATGCTCCTGCAGAATAGTAGAGAGAGAGAGCTTCCCGAGCCATTTATATAGTGACATTTGTTACCGGACTGTCCAAATCTCATTTTCTCATTGCAGGATTCTTCTTGACCACATGATTAGGTCAACAAGACCCATCGTGTGGTGGAGAAGAGCTTTGGAATAGAGTGGTCATTCTGCTTGTAGGAATTAAGAGCTTGTTTGGAAAGTGGATTGACTTTTTGACTTTTTTAGTTCGGAGTTAAAAAGTCTAGTTTAAGAAGGACTTTTGGCTTTTTTGACTTTTTAAACTTTTTTGTGAGAGAGAATGTAATGATTATAGGTTTGATCTGATGTTTAGTCTTATTAGGTTAAAAAATTTATTTTGTTTTTTGTGACTATTTTAGCCAACAAAGTCTCCAAACTAACTTCCCAAACAGAGGCTAAGTGAATAATGGAGGGTTTTTTTTTTATTTTTTTTTATTTTAATCTTTTGTAATTATTTATTATTATTATTATTTAATGGATAGAACAAGGTGTTGAAATGGGAAAGGAAATGGTCAACTACAAATTTGTGCCCAGAATTTAATATGTTTATGCCGTGTTTGGTTAGGAGATTTGAGAAGGGATTTAGAAAGGAAAATGAAAAAGAGATGTGAAATTAGTTAAAATATAAATATATTTTATTTATATTTTATCTTTTTTATTTTTTTTTTAAATTCTTTTTTAAATCTCCTAATTCAACAAAGCATTAGGTAGTAGAGATGTTCCTTTCTTTCTGAAAGGTGGATTTTATGGCAGCACCTCCTCAATAGTAAATGAGTGGCCTCCATGACTTCTAGGATCTTGAGAAAAGTGTTTTATTTTTTGGGTAAGAAACGTTATAAAGTAGTTATATTAAAATAAAAATAAAAAATATATATAACAAGAAAAGAAGAAAACAACCAAATCTTGAAAGGGCCAAACAAAAACATAACAACAAATACAAACAAATTATTCGGTGGAATTTATTATTACTTTTGTATTTTTATTTTGGAAGATATCATGGTGCATGTTAAATGAGAACTGATGTAGAGTGTTATTTCAAGAACACCGAAGACTTGTTTGGAAAAAAATATGTTTATAATTTCCTTTTTTTTTTTTTTTTACGTTTATGAAAAACTTAAAAAATGAGAAAAGTTTTTGTTTTCAGAAAATTATAGACAGTGTATAAAATTTATAAAATTTTTATTTGGAGAAAATTTTAAAAAGAAAAGAAAATACACAATTTTTTTCTCAACAAATTCAAGATTTAAACAAAGCTGAAAAGCAAAATGTCATTAAAATATAAATCTATTTGAGGGATGGCATAATGCAAATAGATACACCTCTAATGGCAGTTTAGTGTATAATAATTTGTCAATAATTCTGTAAACCCACTTATAAGTACTCCAAATTTGGTATTTATACCAAATTTTTTGTATAATTAAATCTAAATTTGTACTATTACTGTAAATTTGCATTAACAAAAATTATGTATCAAAAAGCAAAAAAAAAAAGAAAAAATTGCAAGTTGTATCATAGGGGTATTTGGATTAGGCAAGGCTTCTTTCCGGTCCAAATAAGATTAGAGGATATTGTTATGTCTCTGTGGGTTAATCACGGAGTCTGCATCGATAATTTGAACCGTTAATGTGTAGAACTCGTCGAGTATTTTATCTTCAAAAAAGTTTATATTGATCAAATATTGATAGCCACTTGATCCAAATACATTTGTGTTAACGGTAAGTATAATTTTTTAAATAAATTATTTATACAAGTGTACTATGATCAAGCGACTCTCGATATCTGATCAATATAATTTTTTTTTAGAATAAAGTGCTCGATGAGTTTTATAAATTCAACAATTTGGATTATCAATGCGAGTTTTGTTGTAGACCCACAGAAGCGCAACAATACTCTCTAATTGGGAACCAGCTGAAGAGAAGCCTTATTTATGTTTCCTTGGGCAACAAGACAGCTTGATGTTTGGGCCTGACCCACAATACTTTTCAAAAGAGCCCTTGAAAACATATTATGCTCACGTTGTCGTTACCAACTTTAGTAGGCTTCAAATGGGTCCTACTGTGGCCCCTCGATTTCACATCTACATCGTTGGAATAGAATCCATGCTTGTTTGCTTTATTTGAAATTATAGCAATCCTATATACTATTGTTTCCCAAATATAGATTACAACTTTTTTTTGTTATGTACTATATTTCTTATTTTTTGTGATATTACAACTTGTGTGTGTGTGTGTGGAAATATCCAGAAAAAAAAAAAAGAGTAGAAAAAATAATTGTAAATTCATAAAAGTATAACACTCCTTTGCACAATCTAGTTCTATAAATTACTTGTATTTTCATAAATTTACAATTTTATTAACTTTTCACTTTTTTTGATATCTCCCCCTTCTTCTTCATTTCCCCCCCCCTTCCCTTTTCACCATTTTTTTTGGTTGTGCTGTATTCTGGCTAACTTGTACACACTAGACTAGGGGTGGGCGCGGGTCGGTTGCGGCCGCGGAATCTCTAATCTGCCATCTGTCCGTCAATCCGGCGGATGTGGATTGAGCGAATTGGCGGTTTGGCGGATGGATGCAAATCGGTTTGACGGTTTAAAATTTTATAAATTTTCAACATAATTCAACTTGTGCACTTCCTCAAAAAAAGAAAAGAAAAGAATAAAGTATTACAGTCAATGACTTAAAAAAATATTAGAATCATTGTATACCTCATCCAAAAAAAGAAAGTTTGAAACTTTAGAATATCACAATCACTATATGCCTCATCCACATATTACAATCACAGTGTGATTTATCCACATAAAGTATTACAATCTGTAGTTCTTAAAATATAAAAATAATTCAAACCACCAACACCATGAACAGAGCAGTAGTAGAGATTGTATGTCTATGTATTGTTACATCTATATATGTTTTGAAAACAAAAATTAATCAGCATATATCATATTTTATATTTATTATTTTTAGAGTTAGATTTAAAAACTAAAAAATATAGATAAATAATACGTTTGTTTTTTTCAATTCAAAAAATATATTCAAGTTGAAAACTTTTTTTCAACAAAATATTTAAACTCTTTTTCAATTGAAAATACAAACAAAATATTTAAACAAATTGAAAATATAAAGTCTTATAAATTAATAGGGGTGCTCGCGGTTTGACGGTTCGGTTGCAGCGAAAGGAATCTCAAATCCGCCATCTATCAGCCAAATTGGCGGATTGGAGAAAATCAATCCGCAATCGTCCGCTCGTCATCACACATCCGTTCAAAATGCGGCGGATCGGTTTGGTTCAATCGATTTTGGCGGATCGATATATCCGCTGCTCACCCCTACACCAGACTACCAGAAAAAGTTTTGATTTTTTTATTTATTTATTTTTGTTATGTAGTATATTACAATTTTTTTTTTGTTAGTGTATTACAACTTGTTTTCTCTTTTCACCATATATATTACAATTTTTTTTTTCTTTTTTAAAGATTTATTGCTGAAAATGGTACGTATTACGTGCATTGAAAATATAATATTGTATTTAGATCATGAATTTGATTATAAATTTAAAAAAAAAAAAGGAAAAAACAATAAAAAAGAAAAAAAAAAAAGGTTTTTTTTTTATGTAGTATATTACAACTTTTTTTTTTTGTTAGTGTATTACAACTTGTTTTCTCTTTTCACCATATATATTACAATTTTTTTTTCTTTTTTAAAGATTTATTGATGAAAATGGTACGTATTACGTGCATTGAAAATATAATATTGTATTTAGATCATGAATTTGATTATAAATTTAAAAAAAGAAAGGAAAATACAATAGAAATGACAACATAAAAAACTATTTTTTTTCATTTTTTTTATTTTTTATTATTTAAATTTCTATTCAAATTTATGATATAAATAGAGTCCAAGAAACTCAATATAATTATGATAACTTGTTAAGCTTGATGTAGTTTTTCAAAAACTTCAAAACAAGTTAGTATAATTTACCTTTATTTATTGAGCTTTGTAACAATTACAAACTAGCTACTAAGGTCAAGTTTAGGAAGACTAAATAAGTGTACTTTTTGTCTTTTTGGACTAAAAAATTGAGGTTGAAAATATGGATGTTTGGGTTAACTTTTTGACTTTTTATTGAAAAATGTGTAATAAAAAAATGAAAAAATTGATTCGTAGGGACCTATTTAAATTAAAATCACTTTTCAAAAGGGAGTTGTGCAGCCGTAATTGTTGACTTTTGGTAAATAGTGTTAACTTTTTAACTTTTTAAGTAACTTTTTGACTTTTTGACTTTTTTGAAAGTACCTAAACTTGGCCTAATTATTTCATTAACCGTTCATACACTTTTATTTTAATTTTTTGAATAAAAAAATATGAGGTTTATTATATTTACGATTTTATCCTTGTGAGAGGGGAAAAAAGAGACAAGAATATAGTTGTAAAGGAGATCTTTCTAGATTTACAAGAAACAGAGAGTAACCCATTATAGACCCATCCTTGTCATATGAAGATTTGTCTTAGCTTGGGACCAAGACAAGTCAATTTAACGACTTAAGACCAGAACTCCTAGACTTGTTCCTTCCTCCAAATGGCTATGTTTTTGGCGTCACCCAAAAATAAAAAAATCAAAAAAAATCAAAACATCAAATTACACGGTAAAAACCCACAGTTTAGAACTCCCCTAAAACTCACAATTTAGAGGTCTGAGCTCTGAGGTCTGAAATATTTTTCTTTTAATAAAGTATTACATTGGTCTTGTCTCCCTTTTCAATGCTCTTCCTTTTCTTTCTTCTTAACTCTCTCTCTCTCTCATATATATATATATATATATATCATCACTGTAAACACAATTTGTAAGATAGATTATCATTTGATTCGTTTAAGTCCTTTCAAATCCTGCTCAGAATTCTCTCTCTAACTTCAATGGAAAAGAAGGTGAATTTTCTCTCTGTTTCCTCTGTTCTGTTTCTTTTAATATGCATACATACATGTTGATGCACATATATGTTTGTAGATTTCCATGTATGTGTGTTTTTATTTTGCCAGATTTTGATCAAAGGGGGGTTCCATTTCATGGGTTTCCAATCCATACTTGTTTTGCTATTTCTCTTTGCATTTATGTGAATTTCGAGTCCATTTCTTGATGGGTTTTGTATTTTCTGTCATTTTAATGAGAAATTGAATTTAGATTCCCTTCATTTTCTGTGGGATGTATTTTAATTTGATGGGTTTGATTGTAATTCATCTTTGTTGTGATCTGTTCATACCCATTTGATGGGTTTCTAATCCATACTCTGTTTTGGAAACTCTCTCTCTCTCTCCCTCGCCCATTTATCGATTTTTCTGCTATTTCAAAGAGAATTTAAGCTTCAATTCCTTCGTTTTCTCAGAGAAAACTTGAATTATATGTTGTGAGTTTCAAAAGCATGAACAATATGTTGGGTTCTTAATCTAATCTATACTTGTTCTCTTGTTTTTATGTGAATTTTGAGCCCATTTATTAATAGGTTTCTTTCATTTTACAAAGAATTTAAGTTCAATTTCCTTCATTTTCTTAGAAAAACATGAATTATACATGTTGTGAATTCCAAAACCATGAATCTTGAATTTTCCCAAAGTGCTTTATTATGTGGTCCTAACTGAGAATCTTAGTGGATTTTCACTTTTGATTTTTTTTTCCTCTTCAGAAACAGATTCTAAAGAGGATTGTAATCTTACACGCTGTTTTCGAATCATCTTTTTTTAAGCCTTTTTCAATGCTTTTCTAACTTCTTCTTTTTTGTTGTTTTTGTTGCAGAAAGTAGTATTGAAATTGGATGTGCATGATGAAAAGGCCAAGCATGAGGCCATGAAAACAGTTACTAGCCTCACAGGTATTAAATGGCTTTGCCACACCTAATTTTCAAATATGTATCTTTGTTATGAAACAGTGGTTATTTGGGTATCAAACTTATCAAAATAAATCAATGGGAAATAACAAAAAGCGCACACACATGATTTATGTTGTTTGGTTCATAACCTACATCCACACAAACAAGATAGCAATACTTTGTTATCGAGGAAACAAGTTTAAAAGTGGACTCTATTTTTCTAGTACTCACTCTCTATTTTTGTCTAGTTGAGCAACTCACTGATCAATCTGTTCTGACTCTCCAAACTATGAAGGGATTGATTCAATTGTTATGGACATGAATGAGAAGAAATTGACAGTGATCGGAGATGTTGATCCTGTCATTGTAGTGAGCAAATTGCGAAAACTATGCCACACAACCGTAGTGACTATTGGGCCGGCCAAAGAGCCCGAGAAGAAAAAAGAAGAGCCTAAAAAAGAGGAAGCCAAGAAGGAAGATGGAAAGAAAGGTGGTGATAAGAAGAAGGATGAAGAAAAGCAGATTGAAGAGCTTGTGAAGGCCTACAAAGCTTACAATCCTTACATGACTCAGTACTACCATGTCTATAGTGCTGAGGAGAACCCAAATGCTTGTGTTATCTGTTGAAAGTGTGAGATTGAGAAGTAGAGAGTTTATAGTTAGGACATTGTGTTCATTGGGGGTTAGGCTTTGAGTTGTGTCCAAACACCCATCTTCGATGAGAGTGAATAAAAGAGGATGATGATCCTATTGTACAGTTGGTGTTGGTAGGTAGATTGTTCTTTATCCATGTGCTATAGGACATTAGATGTACAAAGGTCAAAATAAAGAGAGGAAATAAATTTTTGTACTTGGTAGGCAGCAATTAGTTATGCTCATGTTGTGTTTTGCTCATCTTTGAGGAGGAAAGAAAGAGTGAATATGGAAATTTACTGTAAATGTTTTATCCTTACTCCTAAATGATATATCTATCTATACTATTATAAAGTGAACACCTCTTACGATGTCCTGAATTTTTACTCTCCTCATGCCATGTGGCAGTGTTTTTTATTTTTTTAAAAAAAGTTAACCAAAGAGATGGGAAGGTTTGAACCCATGACCATGGGTTTAAATATGAGGACTCAAACCACTTAAGCTAAGTACACATTATAATATTAATTTTATTTTTATTTTCTTTTATTCCTATTTATTTAAATTGCACGCGCATCGCGTGTGCGCAGCCGCTAGTATATATATATATATATATTAAGTGCTTCAAAATTTGGAAATTGAGCCTAATTCAAAACTTGGCTAACAAAAAACAAATGCTCACAATTGATCCTAATATATTTGTAGAGGACGTTGGCATAATAATAAGGTTATTTTATTGTGATTTGGGCATTATTTATTCATCGAATAAGATTATATAACTTTATAATAACAGAAGTCTCATGTACTAAACTGTCTTTTACTCATAGAAATATCACGCTCTCTATGCACTAAATGCCACATGGCTATGCGACAAAAAGTACAATTTAGCATATAGTAAATAATGAGTGATTTTGTGACTAAAAAAAGCAATCAGTTTGTTTAGTTTGGATTTTTAGGATTCACTTCTTAGAAAATTAAAATTTTTTGTTTTCATATTTTTTTTACTAAATTTTTTTAATATTCTAAACAATTTTTTATTTTTATTTTTAGATACACCTAACATAAATACACTTAAAAAGTATAACATTTATAAAAAAAATCTTTAGAAAATTTACTTAATACCAAAAATACAAAAATAAAATAAAATAAAAATTCAATATATTTTTGTATTCTTGTGTATTTATTAATTTTTAAAAATATTTTATTTTTTAGGTATATCTAAGTTAAGTCAATATTGGTCAAAACTACAAATTCGTGCCCCTTGGGTGGTAGAGATGCTCCTTTCTTTCTGAAAGGTGGATTTTATGACAGCACCTCGTCAATAGGTAAAGGGGGATTTGGTGACAGTCCCCTCACTATTTAATTTGTCTTTTAAAAGGACAAGAATTATGTAAGTACTTTTAAAATTTCTTAATATTTTAAAACTTGTTTCTTTTACTATATTACCCTCATATCTATCAGCTCTCCTATTAAGTCATCTTCACTATATATTTGAGAGTAAAATTTTATTCTGTATAAAAGTAAAATTTTACATTCTGAAATTAAAAGTAAAATTTTACTCTGTATGAAAGTAAAATTTTACTCTCTGAAACTAAAAGTAAAATTTTACTCTGAAAAACGAATTACTATTATTTAATTCAATAATCTCTCTGTTGCATTAATCATTCCGCTTGCATGTAAATTTTTTTATCTGAATTAGGAATCCATAAAATTTGTTACAACACTACCGGATCAAACTCTAACGAGATTGAATAGAAACTTGAGTTCGGAGATCATCATCCACATAATCAATATAATTTTGGAAAATTTGATTCCAAAAATTTTATAGTGATTGTGAAATTACCAAGCTTTACATATTGCCATATCTTGCTGGAGTGTGAATGATTTCCCCCTTATTCCTTTCTAATAAGACTGCCATAACTTGTTCTGTGAATATAGAAGGATGAACACTAGTGTTGGATGTTTTTTTGGATGTTGCCGTTATTGTAAATGTAACCGTTGAATGTGGGGTTGTGCACACGGCCCATAAAAATATAAAAAGAAAATTACGCTTCCTTACAATGTGACCTAATATTTTTCCTTTCACCAAGCACCAAACTTCAATGGATGCATATATATATATATATATATATACATATATTCAAAACTCAAATCTGTGTTTAAAAAAATATGTATAACCAAACAACTCCACCTGCACTCTTCTCTACGTGGTCATTGCGAACTCGATGGATCTTCAAATTGCAATAGAAGCTTCAAATTGAGTCCAATTTCGCTTCAAGATAGCAAACACAAGTCTGATTGCGATTCAGTTAGCGAAGTTGATCTGCAAGTCGTTCGAACTTAGAGTTTGCAACCTTTAAACCAGATGCAAACTGAAATCGCAATTCAAATTAGAACTTGAAATCCAAAGTTCTCATCGAAGTTGACTTAAAGAACAACGAGTCACAAGAGAGAACCCAAGGTCAGATCGCGAAGGACTCCAGTTCGTAATCGCGAGTTCCAGAAGCTTGAATTCGGGTTGATTGTCGAATCGGATCAATTTTGCGATGAAGTCCTTGGTTTCTTAACAGATGCAAATTAGATTAAAGCTTCAAACTAAGCTTCAATTCAAATACACAGGTCAGATTGTGATTGTTTGAACCAGGTCAGTGTTCTAGGTCAAATATTGAATGAATCTTAGGCTTAGATGAACTCGATTTTGGCTGGCCAGAGTCATAGAGACCAAGAAGGTGGAGAGAGAGTGGGTAGAGTAGGTGGGAAGATTTAGTTGAGGGTATAATAGTCTGAAAAAATATTTAAATAATAAATTTTGTCATTTATGCAAGATTTTATAATTATGAAGGGGTTTAGAAAATTTAATTTTTTTCTTAGTCCTTTTAACAATGAAAGGAAGGTAAAGGGAGTTTATAGCCAAATTTTCCATAGTTAAATGAGTGGCCTCCACGACTTCTACGATTTCAGAAAAGTTTTTTTTTTTTTAATTTTTTGGAAAAGTTATATAGTAGTTAAATTAAAAAAAAAAAATACATAACAAGAAAAGAAAAAAATAACAAAATCTTAAAACATAACAACAAATACAAACAAATTATTCAGTGGAATTTATTATTACTTTTGTATTTTTATTTTAACATGATGCATGTTAAATGATAATTTATGTGGAGTATTATTTTAAGAACACCGAAGACTTGTTTGGTAACAATTATGTTTATATATATATTTTTTAAGTTTATGAAAAATTTAAAAAATAGAATAGTTTGTGTTTTTAGAAAATTATAGACAGTTAATAAAACTTATAAAATTTTTATTTGGAGAAAATTGTAAAAAGAAAAGAAAAGAAAAGAAACAATTTTTTTCCCAACAAATTCAAGATTTAAACAAAGCTGAAAAGCAAAATGTCATTAAAATAAAAATCTATTTGAGGGATAGCATAATGCGAATATATACACTTGTTGGCTAAAATGTTGGCTTATTTTTCCTACGAAGGAAAATATCATAAATGCGAGCGTGCCAGCAAGGATTGAAAAATCCTTACAGATTAAATTCAAGCCAATTATCAAGCGATTGTGTTGACGGTTCTTTTGCCTCAACGAAGAGGACTTCAAATGATAATTATGAATAATTTTTGAATATTTAAATCGAAATTTGTACTATTAGTGTGAATTTGTATTGACAAAAATTATGTACCAAAAAAAAAAAAAAAAAAAAAAAAAAAAAAATTGCAAGTTGTATCATAGGGGTATTAGGATTCAGTAATGCTACGCATCATGAAATAAATATCATGAAAAGTTTCATGAAACTAATCCAATGGTGATTGTATAATATACAATAAAACACTACAGACACTATAAACTAATCCAAGGGTAGAGAATCTTCATGAAGACTTTTTATGATACTTCTTTCATGATACCTAGCATTATTGATTTGGATTAGGCAAGGCTTCTCTTCAGTCTAAATCAGATTAGAGGATGTTGTTAGGTCTCTATGGGCTCACCAAGGAGTCTGCATTAAACTGTTCTATGTGTAGAACTCGTTGAATATTTTATCTCTAAACAAATTTACATTGATTAAATATCGATAACCACTTGATCCGAATACATTTGTGTTAATAATAAGTATAATTTTTAAAATAAATTATTTATACAAATGTAATATAATTAAGTAACTATCGATATCTAATAAATATACTTTTTTTTATAGAGATAACTTCCAAATGAATAAGAGGATGCCACGTGTCCTGCAATTATATAAATAATAAATAATAATAAAAATTGCAGATTTATGGTGTTAACAACACTTCTAATGACAGTTTAGTGTATAATAATTTGTCAATAATTCTATGAACCCCACTTAACTACTCCAAATTTATCCCAAATGAATATGTGATTGAGATTGAATTTGTATTGTGTGAGATTCATATTTAGAATAAATTTGTACTATAAGATGATAATTATGAATAATTTTTGAATATTTAAATCGAAATTTGTACTATTAGTGTGAATTTGTATTGACAAAAATTATGTACCAAAAAGCAAAAAAAAAAAAAAGAAAAAATTGCAAGGTGTATCATAGGGGTATTAGGATTCAGTAATGCTACGCATCATGAAATAAATATCATGAAAAGTTTCATGAAACTAATCCAAGGGTGATTGTATAATATACAATAAAACACTACAGGCACTATAAACTAATCCAAGGGTAGGGAATCTTCATGAAGACTTTTTATGATACTTCTTTCATGATACCTAGCATTATTGATTTGGATTAGGCAAGGCTTCTCTTCAGTCTAAATCAGATTAGAGGATGTTGTTAGGTCTCTATGGGCTCACCAAGGAGTCTGCATCGATGATTTAAACTGTTCTATGTGTAGAACTCGTTGAATATTTTATCTCTAAACAAATTTACATTGATTAAATATCGATAACCACTTGATCCGAATACATTTGTGTTAATAATAAGTATAATTTTTAAAATAAATTATTTATACAAATGTAATATAATTAAGTAACTATCGATATCTAATAAATATACTTTTTTTTATAGAGATAAAATGCTCAATAAATTTTACATATGTAATGATTTAGATTATTGATACGAGTTTTGTCGTACACTCACGAAAGCTCAACAATAGCTTCCAATTGAAACCAACTGAAGAGAAGCCTTATTTATGCTTCCGTGAACAACAAGACAACTTGATGTTTGGGCCTGACCCAGAATACTTTTCAAAAGAGCCCTTGAAAACCTATTTATCCTCACGTTATCGTTAACAACTTTATAGGCTACAAATGGGCCCTACTATGATGCCTCAATAAGGGTATTCTATTTGAACTCAAAATTTTTTTAAGTATTTTTAATTTTTA